GATTTAGAATGATGCTGGATCGGGCCTTCTTATCCATACCCGCAAGATCTTCCTTTGACGTACCATCTGGAATGTTCTCAACACCCTGAAGTGCCAAATCAACTCCGTCTTGAACCAGAATGGCCTCCATCTTGAGTTGCCACATGCCGAAGTTGACATTTCTGTCGAATTTCTCGACAACAATCTTTGTTATTGTCATCGTTGCCAAAAGATCCCAGAACCAGGCTCTGATACCAGTTTGTTAGAGCTAGCCTCAGAATATTTACCAAAGGATAATTTTGGCAACACAACAAAGATAATAAAGCGGAAAGAATAAAGCGACAAGAACAACAGAACACCAGAACACCAGATATACGTGGTTCGGTCAATTGACTTTGACCTACATCCACGGAAGAAAGAGGAGCAAATTACTACTATAAAAGAGGGACACTTACAAATGCCTTAGGAAATGTTCCTAGGCCATAAAACACCTTCAGCTTCCTAAACAAGAAGACTTCAAACCATAAGCAGGTTTTCTTGTGATGCCTGCTGTACTTGTTGTGGTGTGTCTAACATCAAAGCTCAGGCCCTTATTTATAGTTCCAAGACGAGACAACAAGTCTGATTTTCCCGATGTGGGACTATGGGACTTGCCAAACTAACAATAATAACCACATCACATCTATGAGTCCCTTGTGTCACGAGCTTTACCCAGAAATTTAGTTTTGAGAAGATGCATCTGATCATACTAATTTGATTCTCAAGTTAATTCAATATCTAATATGATAAATATTCTTTCTTGTTATGTTGGTGTGGCAAATTTGAGTGAATGGGTTTTGCATGTTAATTTCTAATGCTCCTGAATATTGGTTATATCATCTTGAGAGCCTTTGCTTGAGATGGATGTCATATATAGGGAGATGTCATGGATATCAAGACTGCACCAAGTGCGTTGGATGTTCTATCGAGACATCTTGGTTGAGAAGATTATGTCACATGCTTTTCCCAATTATGACGTATCGAAGCAAAAGAAAACACTTCGACTACGAAGGTACGAAGGTTAGCAATAAATGCATCGCACACTTCTACTCGATTAGGATATACTGAGCATGTGGAGACACTTTCACTGTTAAGGTTATATTAGGCATAACAAGCATATCATATGCTTTTGCTTAGTTAAAACACATTAAAGCACAGGCAACTCGAACACAAATCCAAACCTAAGCTCGAAACTTAAGTTCAATCAACTCAAAGTCTCAACTAAAATCAATCTGAATTGGAAAAAAAGTTCAATTTCGATTAAGAGTCTAATCTTCATGAGGAGAATTCTCTTCCATAAAAGCAAACATAAATGTAACAAAATAAAAGAAACCAAGAGCCTTTAAAAAAAAAAGGCAATTGGGCCTTAAGAGAAGATGAAAGAGAGAGCTTGAGCCAACAACAAATTACAACATCAAAATATCTTTATTGCTCAGGAAAGCTTTTCATAATTTCATGTTTTAGGACATCTTTTTAACAAGAAATCTATATTGAAATCTAAATTATTTTCTTGTGATAATCAAATCCTTCCCCCAAATTTTCAAAAAAAATCTACCAAAATTCCTAAAATAAGAATATACGACTGAAATTTGCGTAACTACTTATTAACTGGACTCGATATTGTCTAGAGACATTCAAATAGCCAAAGAGCATAACAACAAAGAAAGAAATCTAAAATCATAGAACTCGGCTCAGGAACTGCATTCAACTATTTACATCAGAAGTTGAGAACAAGATTCTTGCAGAATACAACACTAGATAATACAGAACACTTAGGCTGTACGTGTTTAGACGGGTTCCGGAGCAAATACATTATATCACAATAAATACCTCCAAGAAGCAGGGCGATCTCTTGATATGACGAGAACTCTCGATCCACTATAATCAAAAGTAGGTCGGTATAGATCATCGGGGCCAATAGTTTCCTTCACACCTACTGTGTTCCCCCCATCGAAGCATAAAGCTTGCGATCTTACATCCTGAGAAGCATCGAAGACGAAAAGCCCCATCTCACAAATGCCCATGACGATATCGGTACTTCCCCAGACTTGAGTCAAGCAAGAATGGTGAAAGCGAGTATTAAGTTCCGGCAATTCATATGTTGTGACAAGATTTCCTTTACGCAAGGAGTAATGTTGCACACGAGATCGTGGACTGCCCTTTATGGGCAATCTTCCTTCAGTGCTTCCAATATATATGGAGTCCCCACGTGAGTAGATGGAGTGCCCGATCCCACCATGCCTTGATATTCTGAGACCAACACCGGCTGGGAGACGGAAGTCAAGAACATTGATGCTTTCTTGCGTGCAGAACGCACCATCATTGCCTTCCACTTCAGATGAGCTCACTCTGCAGATTAACTCAAATATTAGCGGAATTAAACTGAGTAAATATAACAAAAACAAAAAAAGTTATATGAGTTGATATACTAGTGCATTTTAAATGACATCTTTTGCATTAGTGGTGATACATTGAGTACTGTGGTGACACAACAGGCCGTGATGAAATGATGACCTTTGTTAAAAGGTATTAGAGATGCATATAATCCCCTGGAAACCAAATTCTTAAGTCAAACAAATGCAAGTTATCTTCCATCTGTTTCCATTCAATTGAAAGATAAAAGTCGAAATTTATATTTAAACTAAAAACTCACCTCTGACGAACACCACCACCCAATTCAGCATCAGTGTTGTTGACATGAAGGGAATAAACCTTCTTACCAGCACAAGCAACAGATAACAAAGGCTGTGGGTTAACAGAATTCACATCCCAAAGGCTAATGGCTTCAGTTCCTACTACAATCACCTTACCCCTACTTCGCCATTGTAAAGGACTTGAGTACTCCATTCCCATCACCGGACTATTGACTTCCCACTTCATTACTAAATCCCCATCACGGATATCATAAGCACTGACAAGTTTTTGTCCATTGCCAGTGCAGATTAACAGTGGTCCACAAGGCTTGTACCACCACTGTTGTTGTCCAACAGTTTGAATTGTGCTCGAAGAACTTCTCAAACCTGTATCGCTTGGGCCGAGAACCATCATGGATGATGACTGTGAGGAAGAACTAGTTGCAGCATCCCCAAGTGAAAAAGCTCTTACATCCCTGGTATAAAAATCCCACGAACAAAAGCCAGATTCTAGAGCATTCCCAGCTGATGCTGCGACAATATATTTTCCAGTGCATCCATCTGTACAGGGTGCACGGATTAACCAGCAGTCACCCCATAAATTACTTGACACTCCTGCTGGTGGCTTGTATTCAGACTTGAACTGTAACAGTAAATGTTACCAGTAAATTAGTAAATGCAAGACAAGTTTTTATTATGTTTCAGTAAGCATCATGTAATTATACAAAACCAATAATCGGTTTATGTTCCCAATTGCCTGCGTAATAGGAATGTCCTACAAAAGAAGCAAATCAGCATCATAGACATATATACTTTTGCATCCATTTCAGAACCTCAAAAATGTTGGCTTCAGGATGCTGTCAACTGAGGGTAGACACAATTGGTGCTGTTGACTGAGGGTATATGGCAGGAAAGTGAACAGAGATGTCTTATGAATGTCTCGCAAACATAGAAATAGTGGCTAAGGAAGCACTGGATAGAATAAGCCTTAAATTTGGGTAGCTCAATGCAAATGCTCTGTTTCGATCTGTTGCATGCTTAACAAGGCATGTACCTCTTAGTTTCATAGCTCACGTGTATAGCTTAGGCAGTGCCTCTTTCCTCCCAAAAAGAGTAGCATATAAAATTCCAAACATAGATATGCAAATATGGGCTGCCATATAGCAACGGACTGAAGATAATTAGATAATTATATAATGTTAAGATAAGATGGCAAGAAATAATTCATAAGAGAGCAATATATATATCCATCACTTTCATCAATATCTGGAAGGAGTGCATTCTATCCCACGGGAAAAAGAAAAAGACTTCAAGCAGACTAAAGAGAAATTATTGATGAAAATTTGAAGTTCAATTTTTCACCTCATGATTAGCTATGTCATAGTAGGAACAAGATCCATCATCATGAGCAAGAAGAACAGCTTCTTCTGAAACAAACCATCCACCAGTTGAGGGCTTTTGTCCTATCTCACATAACTGCTTCACGGAGGGGTCTTCATTGTCTACATGCAATATCAGTGCAGGTTTCATCTCCTGGTCATCAAACTCTTCAAGCTTTTCAGTTGCCATGAGTTCAATTTCACCTTTGCAATGCTCATGCACCATCTTCCTTGGAACACATTGTGCAGCTGATGAGCCTCTTTCATCCCTCAACCCTCGTGCTGCCACATGCTCGGATTCCAAAATTGGAGCATGTTTGTTAAGCTCACCTTGTACCAAATCTAGAGAAGCCAAGAATTCCAATGCAATGGGATTTTCATCAACAGGACTCAATGACCCGCCTTCAACATCTGGATTTCCATGAGTATTTGACCTATGTCCTCCAGCCACACTGGATGATCTCCGGTTTCTCAATAACTTATGATGAGGAAAGAACCTTGCTTCTAATTCTTCATGATTCAAACCATTAACTGAATTACCTGGAACACTCGTTTCTTCACACTGACCTGAGATGACAATTTCAGTACCCTGGCAGTCAACTGCAATAATTTTGGATGTATCAAATTGTGATACAGCACCATCAATCGTATGGCCTACAGCTTTCTCAATCCCAGATATCTTACTCTGGATATCAGACAGAATCAGCTTAGAGTCATCTGGGTTATTGCTATCCAACATTTCCTTAGTTCTCTTAATTTCAGAAGCAATTTTTTGGACTTTTCCTTCCAACAATGCCAGCTTCTCATGCAGTTTGCTTGGGTATTTATTAACCACAGGAGCACCATTCAGGTCATCATTTTTGTCAAAGGCTGTAATATATGCAGAGGGCTTCTGTACAGCTTCCACCTTTGGTAGAGAATCAATACAACCTTTGTCACCGGGGCCATTCTTAACGCCGCTGCTGAGTGTTCTTGAGGCCTCAGATTGCAAAACTAAGCAATCTTTCTTCTTGTTTGATGAAACATGAGTCACATCTTTATCGAATCCATCTTGAGTTGTTGAATCAGATGTTGCACAACTTCTGTCCTTCAAATTACTTTGATCGGGAACATGAGATATTGAACTTGAAACGATAAAGAGATTATGTTTATTAGATTCTACAGCTGTGCTTTCAGTCGAACAAATGACTCCTGATTTATCCACCAACAAAAGGGCTTTGTTTTCGTGTTCTGCGGTGCTTCCTTGGTAACCATCAGCATCCTCGGCTAACAATGGCTTTGAGGTAACTGATTCTTTCCGGCTACGTTTCTCAGAGATCGAACTGGTTCCAGTTCTGCCACCAAGTTTCTGTGAGGTGGCATCTGAAATCTTTGCAGCTTTCTTGGCAGCTTGCATGGCTATAAATCCGTTAGGCTTAGGGTTCTGCTGCCCTGAAACCCGAGTTCCGGCAGCCAGTCTCTCATCAGTTTTCTTGAGATTCGAGTCTAAAACCTCTTTACCCTGCTGGCACACAGCCGAAGCCCTAATCTCGCCAAAACTCTTCCTCCCAGCGGCCTCTGCTTCTAGATCCCTCCCTAGAGCTCTTCCCGTGCGATCGGACGCGGAAACCCTAGGTAAGCGGCGATCGCTACGGAGATCATTGAAGATCCCCGAAATATCCGAAGGATTGAGAGCCTTACCTCTCGGCAAAGACGAAGTGGACCACCGCACGCCGGCAGCGGCCGCCGGCTTCTCGACGAGCTTGGGCAGCGGGTTAAGACGGGCGCCGGAGACCTTCCTGCCGGAGAGGATTCTGGAATTCTCCTTGCCGGCAGCAATGGGTGTCCTTCTCCGGCCGGCGGCAGGTCCTTTGTCGTTCGGGGTGGAATCGATGGGAAACTTTTGTGGCTTGGACGCCAGAATCTTTACCCCTCCCCCGCCTCTCTCCTTGAGCCGCGATGACATATCTCGTCAGCGAGGAAGGGCTAGCAATAGGGTTTCGCCAAGGATGGGAAGTGACAGGAGACCAACCCAGTTCGAGAAGAAGGAAGAGAAAGAGAACAGATTTTTTTTCCCCCCTTTCTGGGTCTTCTTTTTTTATTTGTTTATGATCGGAAAAGGCAATGTTAAAGAAAGACGAACGCGACGCGGGAACGAGGGTCGATTTGAAATTTAAACGGTTACTGTCGAGCGGGAAGAATCTTCGGAATACAGTGCAGTCATGGAAAATCCAATCGAGTTATGGACTTGGGCTCCAACTCGAATGCCTCTCGATCATAATGGGCTTCTCAGTTCGTTAGAGTTGTTTATCTTAATGACACTATGATCGAACATTTCAGTGCTCATCCAATCTTTAACATTTGTGGACGAATACAAGTGAATGACTCGAGAAGAATCTTAATAGGAAATGGTCTAAGATTTATGCATTATATTTCATAACCCGCATGCATTTATTCTTTTATATATATATATATATATATATATATATATATATATATATATATATATATATATATATATATATATA